AAAATCTGGTCATGTTCCATTTCAATTTAATATGACTTAGTCGAAACAACCAAATCTGTCATTGTATGTTCATACTGAGTTAAAACTATAAAGGGAAATGTTACTTCAGCAGGCTTCCAAAAATAAGTAATTCTGAGTAATTTGATATTACAAATGCAATATTAGTTTGGTAGTTTGAATAACAATTAAAAGAAAGAACATTGAGGAACTCAGTTTGCCAAACATAGTTGACCAAGTGCCTGTTTTTCTTTCTAGCTCTGCTTTTGTTTTGCACTTCTATAGTTAAAATTTAATGTTGATCTTTAGCTGCAGTGAAACCTTTCCCTTTGCTGTGCATTTTGAAACATTTCATAGAAGAAACAAGAAGTTGACATTCTAATAAATTATAAATTAAATTTTTTTCTTTAACATTTTCGTCTGCTTACTGAGTCTTAGTTTAATGTTACTTCAGCAGCTGATTCTCAGTGTGTCACTGTCACAGTTTATACTGAAATGGTAATAGATCCTTAACTAAGAACAGAGCTTTCCACCAAATCCTGTGGAATGTCAGTTGTGCACATATAAAAAAAAAAGGCATAAAACCCCAGCAAAAGCTGTTTTCCTTGTTAAAAAAATGTGCCAGTGTGCGCTGAAAGTCATTGTATTACTTGGTTGGACATCCCATTAAGTTAATTTTTCACTTCATTGGAACAGTTTTAGGTTTTATCATTCATTAAATTGCCCCTTTTCAAATTACCTGTGCTCCAAAGGAGGGCAAAGAGCTTTGGTTAACAGCATTTTTGTTCCTCTCCTGCCTTACTGTGCTCTAAGCTTTGCTGGATTAATTTGCTTGTTTAGAGAAAAAAAAAAAAATCTTGTTTCTAAATTAGGCTTAAATTCACCTGTTTGGTTTTTTTGACTTTTGCTTAAATGCTATTGCAGAAGGAAGTGGGTTTTTGGGATGGGATGGTGGGACAGAGGAAGAACTTTGTAGCTTTTTGGCTCTTTGTGCCTTGCCCAGGAGAAACGATCTGAAGTCAATGATTTCTTCTGCACCTGCAATTTGGAAGCCACTTTGTCACTTGCTGTCCATGTTATCTTCATGTTTACAAAGCACATGACTCAGTTCTAATAACAGACTGCTCTCAGTCAGACCATGCCCTGTGTCCCTTTGCAGGATTTTGCATGGCTGATGCAGACCAGGTGTGGGGTTTTTTTTTTTGTGGTTCCAGGGGCTCCATCATTCCTTGGGAAAGGAATCTGCCTGCATGTTTTCAGGGCAAACAGTGACAGTGCTCAGCTTTTGAGGAAGGGAGTTCTGGGTCTGTTTCTGTCAGGAGAGGGTTTCAAACTTCCCTCAAGGAGCCCTGGTGATTCCAGTAGTGTCGGTAAGCTGTGTTGTTGTACAGATGCTCTTCAAGCAGATTTATTGGCTTTCCAGTACTGGTTTAAATATCAACTGTTCCATAGGGAATGGAGGGAGTTTAGCAAAAATTGTATACATCAGACAAGGCTCTCAAGGCCAGAATGTGTTACTGTGTGTTGGGATGCTGACCAATGTCTCTTTTTCCTTGGCATTGTTTTCAGAAACTTGGGAAATGAGAGGGCTGGTTACAGCTGGTTGGTGTTTGCAGTGCTTTGGGACTGGACCAATTCTCTTCAAATTGAAACTCTGGTTTGATATTAGTGTGCATGCAGTGTCATTCCTCTGCTTGTAACTGTGGAAATTTGGCTTTTGCCAAATTGTTGGTGACCGGGGTAGGATGTACCTCAGAAACAGGCTTTGAAACCTCTCAGTAAAGGTATTTGACAGCAAAGTGCGTGCAAGGGGGGGGGGTTTTGTTGCTGATCACCTGACATGATTCAGCATCATAGAAAGGGAACTTTTTCTTTGGAGTGGGTTAATGCCCATTGCCTTTGTTTTCTCTTATATATCTCTGCTGCTCCACTTAAAAAAAAAAAATAATCAAAGGTATCTAATGCCAATAAAACATCTTCCAGAATTAAATGTAAACTTAAGCTGCCAATTGCTGGAACTGAGATTGGAAGCTGATTGTTGGTTTCAATGGCCAAACAGATGAGGATGATTGTTTTTTATTGGAAATCTGTCAGGAGCTCTCATTAATAGAAATCTGTGGCTTTTATAGTCCTGTCTCATTTTACTATTGGATTAATTTCAGTTTCCCATCTCAGTCCTAATACATGATGGTACAGATTTCTGGGAAAATGAGTTAAAAATTGAGGCAAATACATTTCCTGCACGTTAAAAAATCTGTCATGTTATTTTATTGATGCAGGGACCAAACACTGGTGTGGGGGACTGGCACTCAACACAGCCAGAGAGATGCCTGATACTAACTATCCTTGTGGTAAATCTGCTGTATTTGGGTGAATTATGAGAGGTTTAGAACTGCATTTTTCAGAGCCTTGTTGTCTTGGCATTACATTGTACAAAAAATTGTTCCTGTTGAAATTGGTGTATCTGCTTAGAGCTTCTCTTTGCCAAACAGACTAAGCGTGCCCAGTCCATTTCTGTCTGGTGTTTTCTCTTTTTTTCCCCCTTTTTTTCTTTTAACTTGTTTAAGATGGTGAAATGCAAAGGGAAAACAGACTTTGTAATTTTCTTTCACATCAGAATTAATGCAAAGTTGCCTTTATCCTTGTCCCAGTTTAAATGAGACAAAGGTCTTTTGCTGAGGATGGATTAGGAGAAAAAGACCCAAACTTCCTTTTCTAGCAATTATAAATCCGAAATTAAGAGGCTTCGATTGAAGGAAAACAAATTATGGAAAAGGGAAAAATAACAGCCCATTATTAAAAGGTATGTGTGTATTAACAGGAACACGAAAAAAACCAAGTAAAACAACCAAGCAATACCCCTATACCCACCAATAATCCCCTTCAAGAACAAAACCGATAAAACCGGCAAAAAGAAAATCAAATAGTTCGATTTTTAGCACCCTTTGGTGCAGTTCCAGCCACAGTCAGCAGGGAGCGCCGTCGGGTCACTGGAGATGCAAAACTTGTAATGTCTTATACCGTTCATCAGGTGGCGCTGTTGAGTTATCAAAAAGTGCAGAACTTGTAATGTCCTATAGTAGTCACCAGGTGGCGCTGTTGGATCACTGGAGGAGTGGAACTTGTAATGTCCAGTACCCGCCACCAGGCGGCGCTGTGGGATCCTTGGTTGCCGCCAGGTGGTGATGGAGGAGGGGGGAAGGGGAGGGAAACAGAAAGTTCTCCCAATGGAAGAAAAACTCACGATTTTCAGTTGGTGAGGATTTTGCGGTGAGCCAGGCCCACAACTAGCAACAGTTGGGCAGAGAACAGCAGCAAAACTCTCCTCCGACAGGAAAAGACAAAGAAGAAACCAGGCAGTCTCTCCTCTCTGCTGCCGCCTCCCCTCCGGCTCCAGAGCTGAGCTCCAACCCCCCCAGAGCTGAGCTCCAATCCCCCAAACCCCACCTCCTTCCACCCACACAACCTACTCTTCCTCAATTCCTCCCCCTTCGTTGCTAGGAGATTAATGTCACGGTCATTTAGGACTCAGGCCAACTCCTTTGTTTATCTGATGGCTCATTAACAGCACACACGTGGGGGGGGGGGGGAAGGGAAAGGAAAGACAAAATTCCTTGCTAAAATCAGAACTATGACAATCCTTTTCTCTAGATTTTTCTGGTTAGAAACTACTGCAAAAAGAGAACATCTACTTCCTTAATTAATGGGGGGAAAAAAATCTGAGTCAGAGATCCGTTTCCTGCCGATGGAACCCATGTTGAAATCACATTGTAGTTTTACAGATTTTTCTTGTAGGTTTTTTGCTGTTATTTTCTCCATCACTGTGGAACATACAAACCCAACTGTGTTCCCCTCTCTGGCACATGTTGTCATTTAGTTCTCCATTTATATACCAGTAGGAAAAACCCGAGTACTCCAATTTGGAAGACAAGATTAGAGCAGTGTTGGATTTGAGCTCTCCAGAGCTGAGAGTCCCAGAAACCAGCAGTGTTTTGCTGTTGCTCCTGAATTATGTGGAGATGTGAGTTGAGTCAGGCTGAGTTGAGTTAGTTCTCTGTTGCTCTGATGCCCGTCCATCAGGTACCCTCAGTTAAGAGCTGGGGAACTGCCCAAGTTAAGGATCCCTTCAGGCTCAGCTACAGGAGTTTGAAGTGTTATTTAGTGCTGCAACACATTTGAAAACCCAAGTGCGTGTTGGCTTAAAATTGACTTATCTCTTCTATCAGAATCTGAATTTTAGATGGTTTAGCCAAGCCATCTCCAGGTCATGTCTTGGTTTCTTCTCATAGTTTCCTTGGCCATTGGGTGTGATGTCTTTGAAGAATAGTTTCATCCTGTTCTATCTGGTTTCTTTGCTGCAATACGTGTCTCTGTTGTCCGATGAGAGAACATGTCCATCTGTAACACAAATTTTATTAGAGCCCTCAAAATTGTCTGCTGAGGAAGGACACAAGTCTGCAGTTCTGAAAGTGAAACACAGGAACTTTTCAATTGGGATTGCCAGAATTGAATCCTATCTGCATCAACTCAGTGTGTATAAGTAATTTTCACATGACTAGAACTGACAGATGAATAAAGAGAAAAAGTGATACCTTTTCTGATGCTTATAGTTGGCTGAAAAGTGTTATCGTCAGAGAAATTAGCCCTTGATTCAGTCAGAATCCCAATGGTCAAGCTAGAGGCACCTTCTCCCTGCCCAGTTTTTGGAGTGGCAGGGGCCTTATTCTAGTGCTACTTTTGAATACTGTAAAATCTGACCAGGATGTCTGTACCTGGTACATACAGGGATGCCCTTTCCAGCTTCCTTTCCTTTGGGGAAGTGGGATACAGGTGCCTCTCTTTTGGAACAGGAAAACCTTTCTGATGGTTCAAGACAAAAATCTTTTCCTAATTTTTTTATAAGCTGCCTTCATTTAGAGTGACTTGAAGAGACTCATTACTTAAAGAAAATGTAGTTTTTTAACCAATGATTTGTTAAAAATTTCTAATTTTGTTTTAATTAGGACACCTGATGATCTCTCGAGGCAAATTGTGGCCCTGCAGCAACGGGAGCTTGCACTGAAAGAGCAGAACTCTACCTTCATGAACAGGTGAGTGATACCAGTGCTGGGTGCTGATAGCAAAACTCTGCTGTAATGAGAGGAAACGAGAACTGCAAACTGAGAGAGACCAGCTCTTTAGATTTCCTTGCTCTTCCATGGAACCTTCTGTGCTCTCTTCGTTCTCGTGTTGATTTGGAGCTTTTTGCTTACTTAAATCCTTCAGGGGGAAAAAAAGATGAACTGTGAGTGGACACAGTGAAGAGTTATTCGAGTTTTATGTTAGGAGCTGAAGTGTTTGCAAGGGGAAATGAGTTGCTTTCGCAGACCCATTTCATCTGAAAAGGGAATGTCACAGCAAAATGTGCAAAGCAGCCACCTGGGTATGGGAAAGGGAGTAAGGGCTCCTTAAAGGACTGTGATTTGACTTGCAAAAGGACCAGTTTGTAGAGATCCTGGTGGAAAAAGACATTTGCAGTTTTGGTGGCAAAGTACTGCAAGGCTTTGGGAGGAGCAGTTCATTTGAGGAGTGAGATATATATTTGAAATATGAGGGTGTTTAAGCCATTGCCCTGGTGTGGGAGTGAATATCTAATGGGAAAATGAATTTGTCTGCCAGAGCTTAACTTTCCAGCCTGCAGTGGCTCCCCAGCCTTGCTGAACAGGGCTCCTTAGCGTGACACAAAGTGCTTCTCTCCCTCAGCATGCATATTCTTGCTTCCCTCACTGTTTATATCCTCACATTAGGAACCCTCTGTCTGTTTTTGTTAAAAGCAAGACCCCTGTCTGTTCAGAAAGGCTCTGGAGTGTTTGCATTGCAGGGCTGTAGCTGCCTTGTCTAAGCAACAGGAGCGTGGAGAATTTCAGCCTTGGGTGTAAAGGTGTTGAATGTAAAGCAGTCAAACACTGTGTGATTGAGCACGGGACGAGCACACTCAGCTTGACGTGGGCAGCACTTGCTAATGTTTCTCCTGAGGTACATTTTGGTTCAAGAGATGATTGTCTTTTGGGCTCTGCCTTCCCGATGGTGGGCAGGATTCAAGCTGGGTCTTAAAAGCTTTGGTTGTGCTGCTGCTGTTAATGAAACTGTTTAGTCAGTTGTAAAATGGTTATCTAGGTGTAAATTCCCATGAGTGAGCCAGCCAAATTGGTTTGTGTTTTTTTGCTGAGAAGTTTACAGTGGGGGGAAAAAATATCACCGATATAAACCCCACATTTCTTATACTAAAAATAAACCAAGAAAACCCTCAAACCCACAGCTGATTAAATGATCAAATAAAATGATCAATAAAACGATAGTGTTTGAGTTACAGATTTGTTTTTTGTTGTTTTTTTTTTTAAACTGCTTTTCACAGCCTCTCAGAGAAGTGCTTTTTCTAAATTTATTAATGGCCAAGGGGAATCATCTGTTGAAAAAGCGGCTTTTTGGTAGTGCCTGTTCATCTAGACGTAATCGTGCCAATTTAGTTTAAAAATAAAAACACGATTAAAATTACTTTTTGATTTCAAGTTAAATGGGCTGTAAAGCTGCTTAAATTAAAATTCTAACATTTTCCTGATGTAATGCTGTGTGTCATTTCTGAAACTGGTAATTTTGACTTTCTTCTGTCACATACTTTTATTCTGCCATAAAAGGTAGGCAATAAGATACATTTTTAAAAACCTTTCATTACAGATGATTTGAAAGTTCCCAGGAGAAGGTTCTGAGTCTTTGGAAATAAAGCCTCGTTAAGGAAGAAAACCTAATTTTCTCTTTTCCCTGAATCTTTCCCAGATTTAGCTGATGGTCTTCTCTTTTATTTGTTTCATAATTGTGGTCGGGATTGTCTGTGTATTGCAGTAACTTAATATGTGGTCATGCCTCCCTCTAGTGATGGAGCCCAGCACTTATTCAGCTTTCTATTGTTTTTTCCAGCTACAAGTTCTTTTGCCCTCGGTTGGAATATGTTGTCTTCAGTGCTGGTAGTGCAATGTTTGATTTATAAAGTCTGTGGTGATGTGTGTAAAGAGCAATGTGCAGTACAAACACCTGCTATAAAAGTCTTGGATTAGTTTTCTCCATTAAAATTAATGATTTGGTAGATGCTTAAGAAAACATCATTAGAGGTTGTCATCTAAATTTATTTTTATGGCAAGGAAGTGGAGAATCTCATGTGGTCCTGGCTTACCTGTTGCTACAGTGCAAAACTCAGTTTAGTAGAAGAGGTTTCAGTGTGAAGTTAGAGATGATTATATGACCCTCTTCCCTAAATGGCTGATCACCAGGCTTTTAAAAGAAGAGTGCCTGGAAGGTAATTTTTTTTTTTTGCAAGCTGATTATTCTTTGTCTCAGTCTTTACACTGCAGTGATCTTCCTTTTTCTTCTTAGTAATGGTACCTTTCCAACACTCTCTTTAGTGACTGTGATAGACACTTGCCAGCTACTGTTTGTCTCACAACCTGACAGTTGTGTCCCCAGATCCTTTTTGGTAACAGGAGATGCTCAGGAGCAAAGCAGGAGTTAATTGTTAATGTAGGGGTTTATGAGCAGGAAGTGACTTCAGAAAACAAAAGAGGAGTGGAAAAGGTACCACAGGGGAATGATTTGCTATGTAAGGTGCCATCCATTTCTGTAAAACTGGAGACAGATCTAGCTCAGCTGCCTCTAGTGTCCCTTAGTTGATCTAAAACGGGGAGTTATGGTTAATAAACGCACAGTAACAACCTTTTCAAATAGCATATGGCTTTGCTAAGCAGAGGAAATTTATTTTATCTCAGCCTTCCGTTCTTAACTCGCTTTCCATTTATTACTGTGCGTTTTTTTAGAGCCAATGTTTGTGTTATTGAAAAGGCCTTAGAGATCATCCCACCACAAAGAGGCAACAGCATTACAAACCCACCTTTGCACTGCTATTTGCTTGCAGTGCAATCTGTGCTTTTTGTAGCCTGTGCAGTTGCCAGTGTCTCAAGGCCTCCCAGAGATCAAATGATAATGCATATCCTATTTGCTCCATCACCCACCCTGGATGCTTTTAGACACGGAACCGCAGGAGTGAATTTCCTGAACAGTAGGTTTAAATCAATCTCTTTTATCAGGGATTGTTTCCATGTTTGAGTTGTGTTGGCTCCCTTGGAGCTTGCTATTTTTCCTGGGGCAGAAAACCTTCCTGTGGTGCCAGCACGGGGAAATAGGAGAGGGTCCCTTTAGCACTGAACACGTAAACAGCAACTCACTTCTCTTGGCAACTTCAGGATCGCTGAGTAATGCAGCTGAAAGTGCCATTAATCGTGCGTGATGGACTCTCACTGCTGGTTCGGAGTGTGTTGCTGGAAGTCTTATAAATAGAGTAAATTATACTTTCAGCAGCAGCAGCAGCAGGAAGTAGCATGGAGCTTTTTAACTGCAGAACAAAGACAGCAATCCAAGGGTTCAAAAGCTCAAAAGAAGATTGCCCAGGGTCACTTTGATAGCACTGAGTGTGCCTGCTCTGCTGTTTAGGAAAAGGTGATGAAAGGAAGGTGTTTAATTAGTGGGTCAAGTTAACCATGCAGCCACCATTACTTAAAGCACATTTTTCCCCCTGACTGTGAATGCTGTAGGCACTGTGCACTGAAATGTGTTGATGGTTGTAGTTTATAATATGGAAAGTCGGCCAAGTGGTTCATAAGCTTTTGTCTTATGCAAAAGTGATGTAGTGGTTGCACTATTTTCTTTTTCTAAGTGAGAAAAGCTGCATATTTATTTTGCCTGCTTTCTAGCTGCATATTTGGAGTCTCTGAAGAGATTTGCTAAAACAATCCTGGCAAAGTATTCTAGAACTGGAGACATGGGGGGAAACTTCCCTTCTTATCAGTGTTGGCCTGTGAGATGGTTAACGTGAAGGAATGAGGCTGCTTACAGCTCGAGATTTGCTGCAGTTCTGAAAGACAGGCAAGGAAAATGGACTTCTTTGGTTACTTGTGGTACCTCCCAGAATGATCATCTCTACTTTTGCTCTTGTCCAAGTGCAGTATTGACTTGGGACCTCGAGATGTCTTGTGGAAAGTCAAGTTACAAAGAAACACACAGGTGAAGTTGGTTCAGGGCAGGATGAAGGGCACAAAGGAAAATGGAAGAGCAGTAAATCTTGGGTTCTGGTGTTGAGATCCTGGAGCTGATGGCTTATTCCCATCCCCTGGTGTCAGAAACCCAGCCATGTGTTTTGACATATTGTTTCATGTGGGGAAAAGGGACACACAGAATGTGTTTGAAAAGGTATTTTTACAAACTACTACTCCAAGTGCTCACAGACTTGTGTTAAAAAAAAGTGGTTGTTTACCACTTTTACTCATATAAATTGTGTTAAACTGATTTGCCCAAAGAACCTGCTCTGTGTGTTGCTGCTTAAAATGAAGTAAACCCCAAAACCACTGAAGACTGGGGAACGCAGATTGCAGACTGAACAGAAAATGCTTTTGAGTTGGGGCAGCAGGGATTGTTTGTTTGGCTTTGGTTTTTGTGGTTTTGTGTTTGGTTTTTTTTTTAATAAAAAAAAAAATGGGTGAGTGATGGTAAGCCCAGAACCGTCCCTCTCCATGAGGGCTGTTAGCTCAGAGGTGTTGTAAATCTCTTGCCCATCTTCTCTTTTCCTTGGATGTCCCAAGGTGTGTCAGTCACAAAAACAAATAGAGCCTGTCAGACTTCTTCCCCTAATCTTCTGGAAAGTTGGACAGAAATTTAATTACAGTGAAGTGTCTTTTATCTGACAGAGAGAGAAGTGCTAGCTTTTTAATAGGCTTTATGAGTTATTTTGTGATCAAAAGAAGCACTTAATGTCTAATACAGGGCGAGGTAGGGAATTTTTTTCCCTGCCTTTGTTCATCTATATGGCACATTGCACCTTGATTTATATGTGGAGGTGTCTGTGTACCTAATACCAGACAAATGTTTATTCACAGTGCTTCAGGGCAATATTAACTGCTGGCAGGTTCTGCATTCATTTACAGAGTGAGGTTATGAAGAAATGACTGTAGGTATTGCTTTTCTGTTCTCCAAAATGGATCTTTCCTTCAGTTTTGTACCAGAAGGTACT